TTCATTATGCCCTCTTAGGACAAAGGCTGAAGTCAAATCTGTGTTTATGAAATTCCATCATCTAGCTGAAAGACAATTTAACTGTAAATTGAAATGCCTTCAATTTGATCAAGGTGGTGAATACAAGGGACTTGTTTCATATCTTACTATTGAAGGCATTAAATTCAAATATTCTTGTTCTTATGTGCATTAGCAAAATGGTCGTAGTGAAAGAAATCATAGGCACATAGTTGAAACAAGTCTTACTCTATTAGCTCATGCATCTATGCCCTTGGATTTTTGGTGGCTTGCTTTTAAATCTGCTGCATTTCTCATTAATAGAATGCCCTCACCTGTAACAAATAATCTGTCTCTTTATCAGTTGCTGTTTGAGACTATTCCTGTTTATTCAACACTCAAAGTGTTTGGTTATGCATGTTTTCCTTTTGTTAGAATTTTCAATGAGCATAAATTTAGTTTCCATTCCTCTAAATGTATCTTTGTAGGGTATAGCTTAGTTCACAAAGGCTATAAATGCCTCTCACCTGATGGCAAAATCATTGTTACACCTAGTGTTAAATTTAATGAGTTTGATTTTCCTTTTTCCACTAGCTTTGAGTATTCTAAACTATCCACACTTTCTCCTTCAGACCAAAATCAATCTTCTTGTTTTTCTAATCAGTCTTCTAGTTTACCTTTTCTATCCATAGCCTCGCTTGCGCCTTCTACAGTAAAGTGCTCTATAGCTAAGTTCTCTATAACAACTGGTAATCAAAATTTTTCTACAACCTCTCCATTTTCTCTCTCTCTTAACACTTCTTGTATCCCAAAATCAATCTGTCATATCACTTGTATTATCTTCACGTCACTCACCAACATCTTCTACCACACATCAACCTATCTTACCACCTATATTATCTTTACATCACTCACCAACATTCTCTTCTGCACCTTCTACAACTGATACTCCATCTAACATTAATCCCTCATCATCTACATCTCTAATCACCACAAGCTATTCCTTAAGACAAGGTTTTTCCCATCTGTCCTATTGAGGTTGATCTGTGCCCATCTCAGTTCTTTGATAAAATTGAGTCATCAGATGCTACTCTTAATGTGCACCCTATGATGACAAGAGCAAAAACAAAGAGCAAAGCATCCTACCCTATAGTTTTTACAACTGTCAATTCTTCTATGACTAAACCAACATCAGTGTCTGAAGCTCTTAGTTTGCTAGAATGGAAACTAGTCATGTAGATTGAATATGATGCTTTAATTTCCAATAATATATGGACACTTGTTCCCTTTACTTTAGATATGCATGTTATGGGAAATAAATGGGTTTTTAGAGTCAAATATCATGCTGATGGCACTTTACAGAAGTATAAAGCAAGATTAGTTACTAAGGGTTTCCAACAAACTACTGGATTGGATTATTTTGAGACTTTTAGTCTAGTCATAAAACCCTCAACCATTAGGATTATTCTTACACTTGCTGCCACATACAATTGGGATATACAAAATGCGAATGTTCACTACAAGAAAACTGGCATTCTGCGTCTAACAAAATTAGACGCAGAAAGTCACATTTAGACGCTAAGCCATTTTTAGCGTCTAAATTCAGTTGTCGCCCCCTTAGTTGCAGTAGGCTGGTCGCATATTCATAGCGCGTCTATATTGTGGTTTAGATGCAAAAAGTTTCTTTTTGGCGACTATCAAAATAGTCGGCAAATGTTGTTCAAAATAGTCCCCCCACTTAGACGCTAAAAGTTGAAGGGTAATTGTGTAAAATTGTATAGTGACTAATCAATTAGTTGCAAAATGTTAGTTTTAGTGTCTAATAATTTGTTGCGAATCCTACACAAATTAGACGCCAAAGGTGTAAGGGTAATTTCGTCAAAGGCTTTCGCAACTATTTTATTAGTCGACAAATGTATCTTTTTGTGACTAACTTTAGTGGCTAATTGTAACTCTTTAGATGCTGAATGTAGAATCCAAACGGTTTTCGCGACTATTATATTAGTGGCCGAATGTATCTTCGGTGACTAAAATTTAGTTGTTAATTATAGTAATTTTAGATGCTGAATGTGGAATCCAATAGGTTTTCGGGACTATTTTATTAGTGGCCAATATATCTTTTGGTCTAAAATTTAGTAGTTAATTATAGTCTTTTTAGACGCTGAATGTGAAATCCAATAAGTTTTTGTGACTATTTTATAGTAGCCGAATGTATTTTTAGTGACTAAAATTTAGTGGTTAATTGTTATCATTTTAGACGTTGAATGTGAAATCCAATAAGTTTTGTGACTATTTTATTAGTGGCCGAATGTACTTTTAGTGACAAAAATTTAGTGGTTAATTGTTATCATTTTAGACGCTGAATGTGAAATCCAAATGTTATCGCGACTATTTTTTGACGTTGAATATGAATCAATTATACTAATTACTTTTTGCTACTAAAACATTAGTTCAGAATTGTTTTTTTGAGCATTTCATATTGACGTCCAACGGAATGCAATTATGCTAAATGACTTTTTGCTACTAAAAATTAGTTGCAGATGTGTTTTTTTTTCAGCATTTCGTATTGACCTACATTATATATTCAACATGAACAAAATAATAGACACAATATAAAATCTGATCACTAATCAAAAATCATATTTTCATACATATTATATGTCCATACATGGATTTTATGCATGAGAGCAATAAAATCCAAAATGCATTATCACATGTGCATAACCCAAAAGAACAGCATGCACCCATATTTTCCTTTCTCTACCTATCTATCTGTGCATAACTAACAAAAATGCCCACCCATTACACCATCTAACACTATATGCAAACAACCTAAAAGATGGTTCTACCCCCATGGCAAAATATCTTTTGTCCATACACAACAAAAAACCTTCAATACCGTTAGCATGTCAAGTGTCACCACTTCCGGTATTTGAAATAGCTGTAGCTGATAGGACGGTCATCATCACTTCGAGAAGGCAAGTGTTGTCGAGTTGGAGCTTTTCAGATTTCTCTAGCTCAAGGGCTATAGTTAGCTGCTTCATCATCTCTAACATGATGAATTGTTGGTGTTCAAGGCTTTTTATTTTCTCTTTTTGTTGATCAAATAAGATTAGCTGGTCCTCCAACTGTTTAATCTTATTTTCTTGTTGTTGCACAATGCACCTTAACTCAGCTTCTATGTAGTGATTGATGCTCAATCTGTGAAAATGCAAAATTCTTGTTAAATCCGGAAGCTTTACCCAAAACTTCCTCACATCTCAGCTTCTGTTTTTTCACTTTCCCCTGCTTGTGTTTCCTCTTGCAGCTCTATCATTTTTCCTACCATCAATTGAATGCATAATCTAATCAACCAACAACAAAATAGCAACATAAAAGAATACTACAGCAGCAAAAAAATAAGTCTGATGGAGTAGAGAAGCAAGTATCTCAAACATTATCAATCTAATACTAAAAGGAAATTTCTGACATAAAGTTTTTCTTATACACATATAAGCAACAATTTACTTGTATATGTTTCAGCCGTGCACTTCTATGCCATGCAACATGGTAATTGTGTTGAACAAAAGATTGGAATGGCTATTATGAAAATTTCTACTGGGCATAATTGGAGTCCTACAAATGAAATTATATGGTTTAATAATAAAGAGTACCTGTGGTAAAAATTGTTTAGGTGTAAAAAGGTTTTTGTTTAATGTATTGTCAATTATGTTACCATCATACCACCAAAAAATTATCAAATTGATGGATAACTGATGCTGTGAACAGTATTTATTTCATCTAATTCCTTTTCATTCTCATTCAGTTCTCTCTTACAGAATAAGTTAAGAAGTAGGTATATTACAAAATATTCCTGTCTCATGATAGCCTCTTTATTGAACGACTATACCTTGTACATTTCAAGTTTTTAATTTATATGGGAACCATCTAACTCAAAACTTCTATTTCAAATTACAGTGTTGCTTTACTGAAGCTTGCCGAAATGGAATATTGCGGCACTACAAGGTATCCAGATTTATTATATGAGCACAACAAGTGCTTGTCTCAGATGTGCATGTGTTTTTACAAATGCAGTGAGTGTGTGCATGGTGTGCCTTTGTGTGCAAAAGTGTAACTTTGAGTTAAGTATTAGAAATGGAGACATGTGCATGGTATGATTTGAACATTTAACTGACCGAGAAGAGAAGTAGAAACAGAATTTGTCAGGGATAAGATATCATGGATTCTTCATATCAAAAGATCTGATTCAAAATGCATAGCCTAACAACACATTATAATTATAATACTGTAAATTCTATGTATGTACAACTGCCTACATGCAGCATTGAGATGAGAAACAAAGAGATTGATATCTCTATATGGATATAGGTTTTAGCTGTAGCATGTAAATTGAGAGACAACTTAATCAAATTAATGATCTGTAAAGGATATTAGATTCTTTGGAGGCATCTCATTTTTATTGTTGCAGAATGATCTGGAAATTACTTCATAGTTTTATCTTTTTAATTTTTGGCAGCTACTTCATAAAACTCCCCATGTATCTATGTTTCTCGAGACTGTAGTGAACACAGAAAAATCATACTAAAAGTGGATACAAGTTTTTCCTACTAGCCATGATACAAGTTTTTCCTACTAGCCATGATACAAGTTTTTCCTACTAGCCAACCACAGCAAAGTTATAAACCATGATACAAGTTTTTCCTACTAGCCATGATACAAGTTTTTCCTACTAGCCAACCACAGCAAAGTTATAAACCATGATACAAGTTTTTCCTCCTAGCCAACCACAACAAAGTTATAAACCATGATACAAGTTTTTCCTACTAGCCAACCACAGCAAAGTTATAAAAGTTTGGTAACACTCAGGAAAACTAAATGCCGAAATCAAACAAATGCATAAGCAGCAACATAATTACAGGTGATCAAAAGATGACAGAGAAATGCAATGAGACTCAAATAAAAACAAATCCAGCATGGCAATATGGAACAGTTACGAAAAATGATCAACTTACATATAGCTCTCTTGCTTGTTCATTAATCCACCCTTTCTCCGCGCTCCAACGAGTGTCATGAAATAATTGTATAGGACCGACAGATTCCCCAACTTGTTGCGCCTTAACAATTCATATCGTCATTGACCATAAATTGAAATAAATTTAGTAAACAGGACAACAATGTTGTATATTTGTATAGGTGAATCATATTAAATACCTTCTCCTTTTTGTGCTGGATAAAGTTCTTGGAACCACCGCGGTGGTTACACCTCATCTTCGACCGGTTCTCAGAGTAAGTTTTTGACCGTGCCTAACACCACAAAATCAGGAAATTAAAATACAATACATATATAACAGCATTAAAAGCCATGTTGACCTTACCTGAAACTTTTCACTCGAAAAAAGGTCACAAAGATATATCCAATCATCAGGATCTTTAATTTCTTCTGGTCTATTCTGTAATGCTTCCTCCTTAGTAGCATATGCTTTGAATTTCTTGTGTAGGGCACTCCGGAAGCTGTTGAATCTCTTACACAATTTGTGCTTCAGCCATTTCAGTACATGGGGCTCCGTGACATCAATGTCAAACTTGGTCTAAATTCATCAATAATGTACATGCATTAAACTTATATGGGTATTATATATTATTTTTGTAAGGAAGTATGACAATATGGATAATGATATTAAACTACATTACCGTGATCCGAGCAATCATTTGTTTTTCGACATCGTACGGAACTTTCTTCCAAGTAAGCACTCTTACGGGGGCATAGTTCCTTGCAACTATTCCTACCTCAGTACTCAACTTTGATGCATTTACTCCAGTAGGTACTCCATCTTCTTTCTGAAAGTCTACATGCAACTTTGACTGCGCTGTTTGTAGGAGTCTTTCACATCCAACTCCTCTACTCTTCCCTCTCACGTTCTTCGCCACTATATTCTCTACAAAATCAAAATAATGCATCAACAGTTAATACTATGTTATCACAAGGACGGTTTACATGTTGGTAAAGTAAAATGTATTCTTAAATTTTAAACAAACAATGTACTCGATATCTAAAATCCAAGTATATATTTCAGTATGCTTATATGGACCAATATCATAACTTTACCAGTGATTGTAGCAATTTCAGGTGTCGGTACAAGACTATGATTCTCTTGAACAACATTTGCACGTCTACCTACGGTCCTTCTTCTACCAGGAGCCATCTTCGGAATCTGCAAACATCAACATAAGAGAAACTGTACCAGGTAAGATATATGTCAATTTATACAATTAATCTCACGACATTAGATCATTAACTATATTTACACATTCAGAAAATAGTAAAGAGTACATATAATCATACAAGCATACCATCAGAAGTTGTTATCAGAATCACTCATTAAATCATATTCATTATCAGTACAATAATCAATCAATGTATCATCTTCTTCTTCAACATCAGCATTGGCATCATCTCCCACCACTTCAGCTCCAACATGTGTAATTGTTGCATCAACCAAGTCAGGATCAATATCATGTCTAATGAAATGTCCCCTGTCAAACTCATCTTCCTGAACAGGAACAATATCCTCCTCTTCTTCATTTGTGTTATCCATCTCTGGTACATCCCATAGGTTTCTATGTTGAGCTTTTCGAACCACTTTCCAATTAGTCCCGAGTTTGTAATCATCAACATAGAATACTTGTTGAGCTTGAATGGCAAGTATAAAAGGCTCATTTTCATACCACAATTTCCCAACATTAATACAAGTGAGATGATAATCTTTTTGTATCCTCTTTTTTTTTGCATCAGTGTCAAACCAATTACACTTGAATAACATAACCCGAAACCCATTAACATAATTTAGCTCTAACACACCACTTAATTCACCATAAAAATCAATTGGATCACCATCATGCTCCCCTGGCACCATCACTCCACAATTTTGTGTAACTCGACAATGTGATTGATCATTGTTATGGAAACGCACTCCATTGACAATACAATTGTTATAACATTTAACACGAAAATCAGGACCACAAGATAAGAAGTACAGTTCCTTAGTTGTATCATTGCACCTGTCAACATGCAAGGTGTTCATCTACACAAAAACATCAATTCCAAATCATTAAGCATAACCTAAAACATATTAAACCTTGTTTTGTATGTTTTATAAACGATTAAGGCATACTTACACGATCTGCAAACCATTTAGGAAATAACTGTTCTTGTGTTTTGAATATGTTATCACAATTTAGGGCCTCCAACTCTTTTAAGTGTTCTCTGTTTGTTACATAAAGAAAAGAGACAATTATGGTTATAATGCTCAAGTTATATACAGTTTAAAACATTTGTTTGTCAACAGGTTTCAACTAAACTTAAAAAGGGACTCACTCTAGAAAAGGTTGCAGTTCTTCACAATTGTTCAAGACGTACCAATGAGCCTTTTGCAATTCATCTGGTGGAAGTTCGATTAACTTCCTTGAACCCCATGGACGAGCCTTTTGACAGAAAACTGATAATACTCCTTCTGGTTGTCCATGCAAACTGTCATCATTTCTCTCTACTCGATTAAATCTAGTTTCAATTCCCCACAGATACATTGAACAAAATGTTAGTGCTTCATTCACCAAATAACCCTCCGCAATAGAGCCCTCCGGTCTAGCTTTGTTTCTAACATATTTTTTCAATTTTCCCAAAAACCTTTCAATTGGATACATCCACCGATATCCAACTGGACCACCCAATTTAGCTTCCAATGGAAGGTGTATAGCCAAATGAACCATAATATCAAAAAATGCAGGAGGGAAAACCATTTCAAGCTTACAAAGAATTAGGACTATATCTTGTTCCAATCTATTTAGATCATTTACAGACAACGTCCTAGCACATATTTGTTGGAAAAAGTAGGACAACTCAACAAGTGCAGTACAAACGTCTTGACGCAAAAATGGACGTATTCCAACGGGCAGCAGTTGTTGTAGCAGGACATGACAATCATGACTCTTTAACCCATGAACCTTGCCGTCTTTCACATTGACACATCGGGAGATATTACTTGCATAACCGTCTGGAAACTTCACTGATTTCAGGAACTGGCAAAATTGTCTTCTCTCATCTAATGTAAGAGTATAACATGCTTGTGGTTTCAAATATCTATCACCATGAGGTTGCAAATGTAACTCTGCGCGTATGTTCATATCAGCCAAATCCAGTCTAGCTTTATCAGTATCTTTTGATTTCCCTTCCATGTTCAATAATGTACCAATGATGTTGTCACATATGTTTTTTTCAATGTGCATCACATCAAGGTTATGTCTGATTTTAAGTTTACACCAGTATTCCAACTCAAAGAATATACTTTTCTTTGTCCAATTTGATGCACCAGGACTCTGTTTCCTTTTTCTACCTCTATCAACTGATAATAAATTTTTCCCGAAACGCACATCGTTCACATGAGATTGTTGTTCATGAATTTCATCCCCTGAATATAGTTTTGGCGGAGATCTAATTTCTCTTTTCCCATCGAATTGCTTGCTTCGCCTCCACCGATGATCTGGAGACAAGAATCGCCGATGTCCCATGTAGCATATTTTACTTCGCAACAATTGGGATGAAGTATTCTCATTACATACAGGACAAGCCTTATAGCCTTTGGTTCTCCATCCAGACAAATTGCCTAAGGCGGGAAAATCATTAATTGACCACATCACAGCGGCGTGTAAACGAAAATGTTCTCCCCGAGCTGTATCATAAGTCTCTACACCATCAACCCATAACTCTTTTAATTCTTCAATCAATGGACACAAATACACATCAATATCTCTTCCAGGTGCTTTAGGCCCTGGAATGAGAAATGACATCATACAGTAAGGGTCTTTCATACACTTCCATGAAGGCAAATTGTACGGGACAAGTACCACTGGCCACATGCTATAAGATAGACTCATGTTCCCAAAAGGATTAAAACCATCAGTTGCAATACAAATCCGGACATTTCGGGCATCTTGTGCAAATGAAGGGTATATCTTGTCAAATTCTTTCCAAGATTCAGAATCAGCAGGATGCCTCAACATGTCTTCTGTATTTAATCGTTTTTCCTTATGCCACATCGTATCTTCAACTGTGTGCCTTGACATGAAGAGTCGTTGGAGTCTAGGTTTCAGTGGGAAGTAACGCAAAACCTTATGTGCAATTTTTTTGCCCTTTCCATCATTAATCTTATATCTAGGTTCATCACATACAGGACATTTATCAGCATTCGCATGCTCCTTCCAAAATAATGCACAATCAAACCTACATGCATGTATTGATTCATAGCCTAAGCCTAATTGTTGCATAATTTTTCTAGCTTCGTAGTAGGATTCAGGGAGATTGGATCCTTTAGGCAACACACTTTTTATCAACTGTATTATCAAGTCACATAATTTATCAGTCATGTGACTAATGGCTTTTATATGCAACAATTTAACTATGAACTCTAGGAATTACATGTTGCTGCACCCTGGATACAATTCTTGTTGAGCATATGCAAACATGTCATCAAATTTCTCATAGTCTACACTCCTAAGATTATGGGCTGTACTACCAACTACATTTGATGAATCTCCATCCATATGCATGTTTACTAGACCACGAGCATCATTAAGCATTTCCATGATGTCGTCATCATCTTCATATTCATTTTCCACTTCATCGCCAGACATGACGTCAAATATGGTTCCAACATTCATGTGTTCCCTGTGAAAAGTCCATACATCATAACTTCTTGAAAACCCATGTCCATACTAATGTAGCTGAATGGTGTATATGTCATGTGATCTTGTATTCAAACAAGTTCTACATGGGCAGCGGGTCTTACCCTCACTATCCAAATGTTGTTTTGCAATGTCTATGAAAGAGTCAATGTAATGACTTCTTTCTAATAGTATAATTTATAACATATACTATGAAAACATACATAATTAGCATATGAAAATAGTTGGGTCCCAATTTTTCTTTACATACAAAATATAATTCTTTACATATATCAAAATAACAAGTACAAAAACTTAGCAATGGTGGATAGTAATGCCAATTCTTTCCGCTTGTCGACATTCTTCCGACCGCTGCTCACCTATTTCTTGCAAAAACATGGAAAAACAACGGGGTGAGCATAAAAATGCTCAGTAAGTAAATCTCTTAACTTTTCTTCTTCTTTAATTCTTTCCTTACTTAATTCTCTTCTTCTTNCGAATGTATCTTTTGGTGACCAAAATTTAGTGGTTAATTCTAATCATTTTAGACACTGAATGTGAAATCCAAAAGGTTTTCGCGACTATTTTATTAGTGGACGAATCTATCTTTTGGTAACCAAAATTTGATGGTTAATTCCTCTGTTTTAAAAATCAGACCGGACCGGCCTGTCGAACCAGTTGGACCGGGACCCGACAGCTTCTCCGGTCTGGTTTAGGTCTCGGGGGTTTTTTACAATATTTCAAAATTATGAGGGTTAATTTGTAATTTTATAGGGGTGTTTTGAAAATATATCAAAAGTGTAGGGATTAATTGGTAATTTTTTGAGGCATTTTTGGAATAAATAAAAATTTTAGGGACTAATTTGAACTTTTTAGGGGAATTTTTGTAATATATTGAAATTTAAGGGGTTAATATTTAATTTTTTAAAAATAAAATACCGCTGACGTCATAGGTCCAACCGATTGGACCGGTTGACCCGTGACCCAGACAGCAAAATGGGTTACCCTCCGGTCTAGGTTTTAAAACAATGGTTAATTCTAATCACTTTAGACGCTGAATGTAGAAGCAATTATGCTAAATTACTTTTTGCTACTAAAACATTAGTTGCAGAATGTGTTTTTTTACAGCATTTCGTATTGACCTTCAGCAGAATGCAATTATGCTAAATTACTTTTTGCTACTAAAAAATTAGTTGCAAAATGTGTTTTTTTTTAGAGCATTTCGTATTGACCTAGTTATCTATCTGTGCATAACTAATAAAAAAATGTCCACCCCATGTACACCATCTAACATATATATGCAAATAATCCTAAAAAGATGGTTCTACCCCCATGTCAAAATATCTACTGCCCATACAACAAAAAACTAACCATAAATACCGTTAGCATGTCAAGTGTCACCAGTTGTGGTTTTTGAAATAGCTGTAGCTGATAAGGACGAGTCTTCATCAGTTGGAGATGGCAATGGCTGTCGAGTTGGAGCTTTATTAGATTGTCGTAGTTCAAGGGTTATAGTTAGTTGCTTCATCATCTCCAACAGGACAAATTGTTCTTGTTCAAGGCTTTTTATTTTCTCTTTTTGTTGATTAAATAAGATGAGTTGTTCCTCCAACTGTTTAATCTTATTTTCTTGTTGTTGCACAATGCACCTTAACTCTGCTTCTGCTACAGTGGAATGATGCTCAGTCTGTGAAAATGCAAAATTTTGGTTAAATTCGGAAGCTTTACCTAGAACTTCCTCACATATTTCAGCTTCTGTTTTTTCATTTTCCCCTGCTTGTGTTTCATCTTGCAGCTCTATCATTTTTTCCTACCATCAATTCAATGCATAATCAATAAGTCAACCAAGAAACTGAATAACAACATAAAAGAATACTGCAGCACCAAACAAAAATAAAATTGATGAAGTAAAGAAGCAAGTATCTCAAACATTATCAATCTAAACTTCAATTCCCTAGTTTTAAATTTTAAAGTTACATATTTACTAATCAATTAACAACATGCTAACATACATAAAATCAATCCATGAAAAAAAAAAAGTGCTCTTAAAGGCTCCTAAAATTGCACTTTTAGTTATAGCATGTCCCTAGGACGGATGACAACTAACGCAAAAATGCTTAGAAGTAAGTTTGAAATATCTACATAAACCATGAAACAGGTTTTTCCTACTAGAAGAAACTCCAACTTTCTACTTTAAAAAATACAAACTGTAAAGTACAATCAAGAGAAACAGTATAACACAAGTTAAATTTGGGCCTTGTCTTGCAATGTTTGTAACATATCAATAGCAAACCACAGCATAGTTATAAAAGTTTGGTAACACTCAGGAAAACTAAATGCCAATATCAAACAAATCACAAGCACCACATAATTACAGTTCAAAATGACAGAGAAATGCAATGAGACTCAAATTAAAACAATAAAAGCATGGCAGTATGGAACAGTTACGGAAAAACAATACATTTATACCCAATTGAATGTAAGACATTTCATTGAATTTTTTATTTAAGAACAAAGACCATGACCGTCAACTATATTTAAAGAACATAAAGTTACGAAAAACCTACCCCTCACTACTCCTGATCACAACACATAACATATAACAAAGAGACCTTATATCATAATTGAAAGATGATCAACTTACATATGCCTCTTTGCTTGTTCATTAATCCACCCTTTCTCGGCGCTCCAACAAGTGTCATGAAATAATTGCTAGGACCAAAAGATTCCCCAAGTTGGTGCGCCTTAACAGTTCATATCGTCATTGACCATACATTGAAATAAAATTAGTAAACAGGAAAACAAAGTTGTATATTTGTATAGTGATATATTAAATACCTTTTCCTTTTGTGCTAGATAAAGTTCTTGGAACCACTGCGGTGGTTACACCTCATCTTCGACCGGTTCTTAGAATAAGTTTTTGAACGTGCCTAACACCACAAAATTTAATATTAAATACAATACTATATAATAACATAAAAGCCATTTTGACCTTACCTGAACTTTTCACTAGAAAAAAGTCACAAAGATATATCCAATCATCGGGATCTTTAATTTCTTCAGGTCTATTCTGTAATGCTTCCTCCTTAGTAGCATTGCTTTGAATTTCTTGTGTAGGCATTCTGGAAGCTGTTGAATCTCTTACACAGTTTGTGCTTCAGCCATTTGAGTACTAGGGCTCCGTGACATCAATGTCAACTTGGTCTAAATTCATCAAATGTACATGCATACTTATATGGGTATTATCTATTATTTTCATAAGGAAGTATGACAATATGGATATGATATTAAACTACATTACCGTGATACGAGCAATCATTTGTTTTTTGACATTGTAGGGAACTTTCTTCCAAGTCAGCACTCTAACGGGGGCATAGTTCCTCGCAACTATTCCTACCTCAGTACGCAACTTTGATGCTTTACTCCAGTAGGTACTCCATTTTTTCTTTTTTGAAAGTCTACATGCAACTTCATTGCGTTGTTTGTATGATCTTTTACATCTAACTCTCTAGTCTTCCCTCTCACATTCTTTGCCACAATATTGTCTACAAAATCAAAATAATGCATCTTTAGTAAATAATATGTTATCACAGGACAGTTTACATGTTGAAGTAAAATGTATTCTTAATTTTAAACAAACATTGTAGACAATATCTAAAATCCAAGTATATATTTCAGTAGTGCTTATATTAACCAATATCATAACTTTACCAATGTTTGCAAAAATTTCAGAGTCGTACAAGACTTGATCTGTCGAACAACATTTGCACATCTAGCTAGGGTCCTTCTTGTACCAGAGAGCCATCTTCGGAATCTGCAAACATCAACATAGAGAAAACATACCAGGTAGATATAAGTCACTTATACAATTAATCTCACGAATTAGATCATTAACATATTACACATACACAAAATGTAAAGTACATATAATCATACAAGCATACCATCAGAAGTTGTTATCAGAATCACTGATTAAATCTTTCATTATCAGTACAATATCAATCAACGTATCATCTTTTCGTCAACATCAACATTGACATCATCTCCCATACTTCAGCTCCAACGTGTAATTGTTGCATCAACCAAGTCAGGATCAACATCATTCTAATGATATTCCCCTGTCAAACTCATCTTCTTGTACAGAACAATATCCTCCTCTTCTTCATTTGTGTTATCAATCTCTTGTACATCCCATAGGTTTCTATGTTGAGCTTTTCGAACCACTTTCCAATTTCCAAGTTTGTAATCGTCAACATAGAATACTTGTTGAGCTTGAATGACAAGTATAAAACATCATTTTCATACCACAATTTGCCAACATAATCACAGTGAGATGATAATCTTTTTGTATTCTCTTCTTTTTTGCATCAGTGTCAAACCATTTACACTTGAATAATAAAACCCGAAACCCATTAGCATAATTTAGCTCTAACACACCACTTAAAATCACCATAAAAATCAATTGGATCACCATCATGTCCCTGGCACCATCACTCCACAATTTTTGTGTAACTCGACAATGATTGATCATAGTTATGGAAACGCACTCCATTGACAATACATTTGTTAAAAAATTAACACAAAAATCAGGACCACAAGATAAGAAGTACAGTTCCTTAGTTGTATCATTGCACTTGTCAACAGCAAGGTTCATCTACACAAAAATATCAATTCTAAATCAATGAAATTACCTAAAACATATTAAACCTTGTTTTTGTATGTTTTATAAACGATTAAGTATACTTACACGATCTCAAACCATTTAGGAAATAACTGTTCTTGTGTTTTGAATATGTTATCACATTTTAGGCCCTCCAACTCTTTTAAGTGTTCTCTGTTTGTTACATAAAGAAAGAGACAATTTGGTTATAAGGCTGAACTTATATACAATTTAAAACATTTGTTTTCTCAACAGGTTTCAAACTAAACTTAAAAAGAGACTCACTCTAGAAAAGGTTGCAGTTCTTCACAATTGTTCAAGACGTACCATGAGCCTT